CGAAAAACAACACACGTTTGCAGTCAGGTCACTCAGATGTGTTTCAGGAGTTCTGTTCTAACCATTGAGGCAAGAGGTTCCTTGTGCTGAACTCCCGTGACAGTAGCCGGCTTCGGCCGGCTGCTATGTCATCTTTCTAGAACTATCTTTCCCAAACTTTGAAAATGCCGTGCTGTCCCGCTGACCCGCTCCGAGGCATTGAGCCAGCGGATGCCATGGTACGACCAGCTATAGACTCAGGTAGTTGTTGTTGTTGTTGCCCCGCGCCCGATCCCGGCGTCATTGATCCAGCCGTGGCTGGAGCCAACGCACGACCGCAGCTGGGTCCCTCCAAAGGAGGATCTTTGAAGTGTTAGTTCAGATTTATCTATAGCCGGGAGAGGAGGAGGCCAGCCGTTGAGCAGAACTTGTGGGTGGTACGAGTCGATGGCAGGTAGTGGTTAGTGTCCCTAGGTGAGTGGTTAGTGTCCCTAGGTGAGTGGTTTGTGTCCCCAGGTAGTGGTTAGTGTGACTAACCACTACCTGGGGACACTAACCACTCACCTGGGGACACTATCCACTCACCTTGGGATACTAACCACTACTACTATGGAGGTGGAGGCTACCATTCCTCCTCTGTCTGTCCACCACAAAGAACTAATGTGCAAGTACTACCTCCACAGTCCGCCTCATGCAGTTACCCCAGTGTCCTATTGTGTCAGATCTGTTCTTTACAAATTTACCTCCTATCATGCCACAGAGGACATCATTACTAACCAGCTTTGTGTACCTCACACCAGGGCTATATTTTCTACATTACAAATCCCAGTTCCTTGTCTGCTCTCCTCTCCCATTATCTCCCCACTCAAAGAAACACTAGCACCCACTTACAAACAATTCATCAGAACAGTGCTGTCATATGCCAGCCCCACCTGGGCACCTGCACTATCCAACACAAACATACAGAAACTCCAAACATTACAAAACAAAGCACTATACCGTACTGTGATTATAAAACAAAGCACAACAATAATCACAGGCTGCACACAAAGCACCCCCATCAAACACCTTCATGTTGAAACAATAATCCTATCCATAAAAGCACACTTTGACAGGAGAGGAAAACAGTTCCTAGCTGCAGCCATGAACAACACAGAACACCCATGCCACAACCTGCATGACCACCCACCTACACACAGACAAATAGTGCAAATTCCACAGAGATACTACACCAGCATACCAAACACAGTAGGTACCCCACCCCAAGGCATTACCAGCATCAATAATACACACACACAATTATGACACAGAGAACGCTGGAGCTGACTGGCAACAACTAAGTTCTTGGACACCCACCACCTGACATAAGCAGCACAGAAACCCAGCCCTCAAGATTGGAGAGTATACCTAGCTAGGCTGCACTGCAGCCACCACCTTTCACTACAAACATGCGCAAACAGAGTTGGTCAGACAGACTCGAGACACCTGTCCATCCAGCCAGGAAGCTCCCCACACAACCATGCACACTTTCCTGTAATGTCTGATCTGGCAGGATCTCAGACAACACAACCACATAACCTTGGCCCTACAGCTCTGGAGCAACCCCCCTGTTGGTGGTGTTGTACTTGCGTGAGGAAGGCCTCCTGTAAAAGGAAGACAGGGAACCTCAACAAAAATAACCATACCACCAACTGCTTCATCAAATGCCTCCTCAAACTGGTCATTAGCATTACATTTTATTTTCCACCATGCACTGACCTCATTCAGCAGCTTCCAATGATGCACTAGCACCCGTGGACTGTTTATACTATACTCTCCTTGTGCGTATACTTTCAGCTGGCAAAACTGGGAGTTTGAAAACTTGCAGTAAATAGTAGCCCAGGTAGCTTTGTGTATAAGCAAGCACCTTAACTCACAGTTACAGGCATCTTTGAGATGAGACTTGAAAACTGTACATGTTAGCTCATTTATTGTAATTTATTCATGTATTGTCAGTGCAAAATTTTTTTTCTACAGAGACAGCACAAGTCAGTTCCCTATATCAGCTACATGACTATGAGAAACCACGAAATGGCAACTCTGTCTGATAGAGAATACTTCACTTCATATGAGGATCTTGAAGTAAGTCCATAACTCAATCTTAATGCAGCTGTTTCCACATTGCCATTTTAAAGTTTATTTTAAATAGCTTTGAGAATGTGGAACTATAAGCTCTGATCTAGTAGCCCAACATCCAGATTAGAAATTGAATACTTATTTTTAGAAAATTGGGGCTCCAAAGTGAAATTTCAATGAACTTGAAATTTCTCAGCTTGATTGTGCACTTTTGTTAACAATTAAATTGGCATGTAATTCATGCTTGAATCTACCTGTACATAGTAAAAACAGTGATAAAATCTTACCATCAATGCCACTAACATAGTTTTGATATAGTTTCACATTGTATCTTTAAGGGGACCTTTTGGGTCCTGAAAAAATGGTAATACTTTGGATTGAGTGCATCCAAAAAAGGGCATTTTTTAATTATATGTTTTTTGAGGTGTAGATTAAGAATCTGAAATTCATTTTTGGCGGTTGGCATCGGAAATTCTTAATGGAATCTGTCTTGGACTGAATTCGAGGCTACCTAAATCTTCTCTTTTCAGCCAAGTAATGGTGAACCCAAGGACAGTAAGTAAGACATTCTTGATACCTCCAGGTTTACTGCCGGAAAGTTCGACCGTAAATCTGCACATAATAGAGCAGATGTAATACTCGAAAAAACAACATGAACTTTTAATCGCACTGAAAAATGTGAAATTAATAGAAAATGGCAAAAAAGGGCTTTTTTAAAAGTTGATAACTTATGCAAACCACATGCTACATATCATGGCACATTTCATTTGATTTTAACAAAATTATCTAGCAGCTCTAGAGCCTCAATTTTTTATTTTCCTCACAATTTTTCTTTTATGCATGTTTTTCAACATTTTAAAAACTGTCATGCGCAGAAATTATTGCATGTACGTCCATGGTTGTAGCTTTGTTGAACGCATATTATTTGTAGCTTTTAAACGAGTGCAAACACTTGGTAATTAACGAGAGTAATGCTCTTTATATATACAGATTGTTAACAAATGTTCATTTTAGATATTTTTGAAATTGCTTATGCAAAAACTAGAGCATGCCCAAACATTCGGTTTGCTGCATTAGATGCACCCTTTCAGTAGCTACAAAATGAGCTAAAAAAAACAGAAAAGCCAAAATTTTCAATTTATTGACCCAAACAGTCCCCTTAATAGAAATGTTTATTATGTAAACAAATCTGAACCACAACTTCCTATAAACAGCTTTGTACTTATGTTGTAATTCAACCCTACAAATCATAGTTCTGACCATTATTATCTATATGGCTTTTAGTGGCATCATTGACATGCTGATTCTATGTGCAGTATCAGCTGCCTGCAATTTTTGTGTCATTGATGGTAGTCATTGCTTGGGAAGAAGGCATATTTCAAGCCTGCTCTGCATGCTCACAACAAGGCATGGCCATGGGGTAATTTACTTTGCAAGCCATAGCTAGAAGCTTACTTTCCTGTCATTTCTGGAGTCATGAAATTTCTGCAAGATGAATCCGCTCCTAAATATTAACAGAAGTGCATGATCTAATGTTGCTCATGCCGCCTCATGGTGAAATGTACTTATTTTTTTAACATTATTTTTTGAAGAGCAGGAAACTAGAAAGCTATAAATATTAAGTCCTTTTCCATATACTAACTTAGATAAAACATTAGATCTGTAATCCAACTGAAAATATGTCTTCAGCCATTAGACTGGTTGATTTACAAAAAAAAAACAATCTCCCTCCACCCATTAGCTGGTATGCAAATGCAGGTACCGGTAGTGTTCCATTTTTTGCTGCCATTCCACTTCTTCTGACCATTCCAATTGGAAGTTTTTGGAACTTGAGAAGCTAGGTTACACAGAAAAATTAGCAAAATTAAATTTTAAAAACTTACACACCTTAATTGGATTTTGAAATGAGATATTGCATTGAGTTTTTCCTTTCAAATGAGTCTTGTAAAGCAATAAAATTGTGCCTTTCTATTGGAGATCAAAGTGGCTAAAGTTTTCAGCTGGCTTGTTTTTTTTTTTTAATTTTTGCTTGACTGTACTCTATCCCCTATGTACAACTCATTCTAATATTCCATCAATGTATGTATTGAACAAGTTCATAGTTATTGATGGTATTGAATAAAGCTTGAGGCTGCTAAGTACCTACTGTTCATATGGAGCAATGACTAGTTAACAAGCTAGTTGAATTTAACTGAAATTCAAATCTGCCTTTCTTCAAATTTAAACCTCACCCATTTTATAGTACTCTAACTGTCTCACTCACTTCTGCAGTCAATTTCCAGAAACTACCTATGAAATTATAACTTTCTACACAAGTTTGTGCACAGATAAATTCAGTTCTAGTTTAGCTTGTGGACCTTTGCCATATTCCAGTCTGATACATACCTACAACTTCCACACCTACATATATTCATGGTTAGGAAGATGCAACTTCTACCAGTCATTTATGCTACTAACACAAAATTTTATTAGTTAAAATTATTAAATTGGTATTGAAGACCATACACTGTAAATGATGACCCATTAATGGTCAAAGATGTCGAGCAGATATGCCCAATTTAAACCTTAAGATTGAATCATCATGGATAGTGCTAGCTGAAACTTTCAAAATGCATTGGTATGGATTCCTCCAAATTATCATATGGTCAAAATTAGCTAGAAAATTCTAAATTTGTAATTTTTATCCAGAGATATCTGTATCTATTCCAAAACACAGGCAAAGTAGATTAACTTATATTAACTACGGTAATAATTGCCAATAGCCTTGCCAATGAACCGCTTTTATCATTTTTGAAGTTGATTATCCTAAAGATTGATACATTTTACCAAAAAACACATTAACAAGGTCAAATTTCATTTATTTTTCACATGAAAAATATATTTTTGGCTAATGCCATGAGGCCTTGTTAACATTAAATTTGATCAATAAGAATAATATTGCTTTGGGAAAGTTAAATTAGCAGAAGTAGGTATTTGGTTGGTCTCTTACTCAAAGTAACTTAAAATTTCAGCTAGCTGTTTTCATTTTGAATATTTGTAGCCCAGTAGTATAGTATTGTTTGTGCATATTAAAATGATAAATATCAAATTTCATGTCCTGTTAACAATAGACTATCCTGGATAACTCTTAGAAGATTTGCAAATTATTTATGTAGGTAGGTACTCTTCATTACTCACAAGAACTATATCTCTTATGAAAGTACCAGTACTGTGTAAATTTGTTAACACATTTTGGTTACATTTCTAAATTATACTTACAGTATTGGTGCTTAATGATGCAATGTTACTACTATTCTTAATTTTTTTCAAACTTCTCATTTCAATATGAAAGCAAAAGGCTCAAAAGCTTATTTCATTTACTGTATTTGTCTCTTTTGCTGGCACTTGAAATTTCTTGTAATAATAATACCTCTGTAGTATACTGAAATCATTTATTGACTTGATGGATCATGTGGATTACAATGGTAATCCACATAGTAATCCTTGATGTTGATTACAAAAGTAATACATTATAATTATAAGAAAAATACTTCAGTGTTCAAAAGGTCTGAAAAATTCACTGTCACAACTGAAAACCTAAATTTTTACGATGTAACTAACTAAATGGTGAAGAATTAAATGAATGAATGACTATACATTTTTTTGTAGATACACCGGCTTATGGTGGGAGACTTGCCTCGCACAACAGCTTATCAGGAGGCAATCAACCGCAACAAACATTTGTTCCATGGGAAAACTGTCATGGATGTGGGAGCAGGGACTGGTGAGCATTTTTTCTGCTCATTATCTGAATGGATGTGGGAGCAGGGACTGGTGAGCATTGTTTCTGCTCATAATCTGCATGGATGTGGGAGCAGGGACTGGTGAGCATTGTTTCTGCTCGTAATCTGCTGTTGAGTTTGTCTGACCTGAGGCTGTGAGTCGGAGTGAAATACTTTGATGGTCACGCTGGTATAGTTACATCCAAAATGAGTATCTGGTAATTAATGAGCTAGTAATAATTCAATCTTCTATAGGTATTATCTATCTTGTTCACACACAAAGTTCTCATTTTCTTAGTTTTGATACTAGACACAAATTTACAATTTGTGTTCACGTAATAATTCAATCTGCTATATTATCTATCTTGTTCAAACACAAAGTTCTCATCTTCTTAGTTTTGATACTAGACACAAATTTATGATTTGTGTTCACAATTTATTTTATTTACCAAAATTTTGTATAAACACTAACATAGGTCATTCACTCAAACCTCTATTCTGCTTGTGAGTTCGCCAGTTTTTCTAACTCTCTACTTGGGCAACATTCCATCCCGAGTGGGATGGAATGTCGCCTTGCTGTTTTTTTTTTCAATGTACAATTCTCCATTTTTCATACTCATCTATACACTGCTTAGTGACCGTAAACACTAAAAATTATAAGGAACAATTTTTTACTTGATTTAAAAAATGTGGTCGTTAAAGGATTAAAGATGAAAGCAAAAGGCTCAAAAACCAATTTCATTAACTGCCTAATAATTATGGTCACTTAATAATTTAGCTCAACTATTGGTCCCTTTCAATCGTTTTTCAACGTTTAATATCCCTATTGAAATAGCCACAAATTAACTCTTATTTGTTATTTCTACCATTATTTAGACAATTGTGAATTATTTAGACCATTATTTAGACAATTAGAACTACAGACAATTGTGTGAGCAGGAATACTGTCTCTGTTTGCCGCGGCTGCGGGAGCCACCAAAGTCTACGCCGTGGAGGCCAGCGGTACCGCTCAACTCGTTAACAAAGTTGCCAAACAGAACGGTTTTGATGAAGTTATTTCAGTCCTGAATTGTAAAGTTGAAGACGTCGAACTTCCTTCTGGTAAGTAGTAATCATTCTCAAGTATTTTTCTGGGACTAAAGCAACGTGGTTTGTAAATTTTACTAACCTGGCTTTAAAAATCAGACCATTATGGGGATGCACTGTTGAATTAAACATGTACGTGCACTTATTCGAATATACCACTACTATGTATTTGTCAGTAATGAATTAATCAGATGTAAATGAGTCTCATTCACAATTACTCGTATTTCACAGGTCTCAGTCTTTTTACTTGTTCAAATCTTTAGGTTAATTGTTGGTACTTACTTTTTGTACCAATGAAGATATCGCGTGTCGATTCGCTCGTATTGGATCATCAAGGCACCTAATTTGCAGCATTCAATTTTTTTAAACAACTCTCATTGATTCTGACTCTTCAAGCTCCTCAATTTTTAAGAATATAAATGTTATATATGCATTTATGCATATATAACATATAAATGTTATATATGCATTTATGCATATATAACATATAAATGTTATATATGCACTGTGATACAGGCAGGTAGACTTCATTCTTGGTTAGATATAAACTTATGTGATGAAATCCAAATTGGCACTGAAGCGTGAAATAAAAAGCAACGGAACATATCCTGTTATTGCATTCGATATTTTTCATGGAGTCTGAACCCATTCATCAAGTGCAGAATTTGAAACTCTTTTCGTAATTAATCAGCATCGAGTACGTCATAATTTTTTTGCAGGTGTGAGGATCGACGTGATGGTCTCCGAGTGGATGGGCTTCTACTTATTCCACGAATCAATGCTGAACAGCGTCCTGGCTGCCAGAGATCGTTTCCTGGCGGAAGACGGCGTCATGTTTCCTTCAGAAGCTCGTCTCTATGCCTGTCCATGTTCTTTACAAGGCCTCTACGAAGAGAAGATCACATTTTGGAACAATGTGTTTGGGTTTGATATGTCGGCTGTAGGTTCTTCCGTGTTGGACGCAACGGCCAAGAAGCCAGAAGTTTGTGTAGTGAAGCAAGATGATCTGTTGGCACAACCTGTATGCATAAAAACCATCGATTTGAGATGGGTAGAAACGAATGAAATAACAAAATTTTCAGAAAACACTTTTGTAAGCATTACCAAGAGAGCACCTTATCATGGGTTATGCCTTTGGTTTGAATGCGATTTTAACGGCTTGGACTACAATGAAAATGGTGATAGCATAGGGGAGCTGGTAACGCTGTCTACGTCACCATTTTCTGCGCCCACTCATTGGAAGCAAACTGTCGTTACACTCGGCGCTGCTGGAACTGAGCGTTCAAGTATCGGGCCAGAAGACGGGCTGCAGACGGACCATGACATTGCTGATGACACAATACGCACCAAAAGCAAATTCATTGAAGTAGAAGAAGATGAAGTGATAGGATGGAGATTAGAATTTGAACAAAGTGAAAGCAACGCACGGCACTACACAATAACGTTACAGATGCTTGACCCTGAGGAAGATGAGCATCCTGAACCCTGCTCATGCGGCATGGCACGCTGCTTGATCATCGCTAAATTAATTGAAAACGAAATGCAGGCTGCAGCAGGAACTAAATGTAACCCTGAGCCTGTGGTTGTCGAAGAAACTGCGGCCAATTAGTGCTGTTCGTCTCAATCTATACGAAAAGAAAATAAACTCTCCGTATAATAATGACATTTTATTTCGACATTCATTAACACGCATGTGGAATGATAAACATTAATCAAGCAAACGAAAAAATCAAAGGCGATCATTAACTTGTTAATAGTGCTTACAGGCAGTGCGTATAAAGCAAGTCAGAGTCCACGCTAAGTGGTCAATAGGCACAACACCAACTATACGAATAACTATATAAATAGAAGCAACGTTTAGCACGTAATCTAATTTAACGGAAAAAAAAACAAAGCGAATGGTACACAACTAGTGCAGCACTGAAGATCATTGAACCATGGAATGGAGATCTCACTAACCTAGGCATGTATGGGCAACTCATGAAAGGTAATTGTTAACAATCAAGCGGTAAGCATTTAGCAATGACAATCGTAATATTATTAGAAAACATTTTGCCATGGGGTCCATTTCTATGGCGAAATCAAATAATTATGAAGTTGGCGCGAGCAGGGATTTGTCCATGAATTTCTTTCTGGTGAAGCAGAGCCACCACTTCGAGGGTCGCCCGTCAGGAGTGCTGAAGACTTTCTCGCACACGCGAGCCCCCGTCTCGTGACGCAGCTGCAGCAGATACTGCTGATACAGCTCTGAAATGACGGCAATTCTTGTAAATCGGCTTCAAAAATGTATGTGAACTTTAGCTCTACTATTCGAACTAGCAACACAGATGGATAGACTAATGTCAAATATAAATTCACAATATATTCATACTCTTTGGAAATTAAAGTAATCACAGCTAATCAATCGATTGGATTGCGTTAAGGAAATTTGATGCTTCTAAAGCTGTCAGAAGATAACATTCGACTCCGCAACAGTAGGAAGATTAACATTTGACTCAGTGACACGAGTAGGTAGAACAAATATTGCTCAGTTCATTACCGGTTTCTTGTTCGTTCTTGGGCTTGGCATAGACCGCGTTAAGAGGGAACGACGGCTCGCCAGGAATGGGGAACTTGGAGATGGCGAGAGAGTACATCTCCGTCTGGCCCTGAGCTTTGTCTTTACACTTGCTGAGTCTGCGCAGGCACTCCGTGATGTACAGAGTGACGTAGATCAGAGTGCGATCACATTCACCCTGTGAAAGAAATGCAGATTTAGAATCTTTTATCAAATACCGTACGCAAAATGGGTCTGAGTACTTTGTTTTAATAGCGTGGACACATCGAAGGCTTAGTTTATCTCCATGGTAACATCAAATTGATGGTTACAATAGTCCACAATGCACGATTTATGTTAAACACTGATTATGTAACCGTGAGGAAATTTAAGAGGTATTCTTCTAATAGAACTCCGAACTATAGAACTTTTAAATTAATATTAATTTCATATTTTTTGAAAACAGCGTTTTGATTCTTCTTAGTTGGCATGATCCATCTAATTTACTGATGGAGACACAGAAACAGAACATACTAAGAATGCGTCCTATCATTAAAAATCTGCTACATATCTATAGAATGGACACCAGACTCCTGCTTTTTCGAAATATCAGTTTTGACATAGACCTGGACAACGGACGAAACGAAAAAAATAACAAGGCCAAGGAAAAAATGAGATCTCGGAATTGAGTTATAGATCAGGAAGACAATTGTGTCAAGGATTTCAAAATGTGCATCCCTGATATTATGAAACTTCACGAAACAGATGCTGTGAAACGAGACGTAACGTTACCATACGAGACATTATCCTGAGGTACGAGACACAGATATTCCGTTACGAGGATAACCAAGTTAAACATTGGATCATTAATGAACAGGTTAGGTGACGTTCAGCTGCTAAACCAACCGGCATTAATAAGCACACTTGACCTGAGTAGAAATTGGCTTGGTGCTTGTACCGGGTTCTATATTCGCAGCCATTATTTGAGGTCACAACTTGTCGCCAGCCAAAAGGCTTATACGCGAGACCATTAGGCCAGGTTCACACCACACTGCCAGGCATATGCCAGTTACTTTCCAGTCCAATATTCTGTAATGCATTTCCATAGAAGCATCCACACCACGGGCATGTCAGGTGTCATGCACGGCTGATGTGAATGCTTATATAGAAATGCATTAAAGAAAATTGGCCTGGCAGGTACCCGGCAGTATAGTGTGAACCCGGCCTTGTCGCCTTCCAGTATTTTATGGAGTGTGCCAGCCAGAGACAGATTAGTTTCAGTCATTGTCATTAACATAAATATCAGGCACCCCAACTGTATGATTAATTCGTTGTTAAGATCATCTACAGTCATTAGTGGACAAACTAAACTAATCGAAAGCGAGTCTTGCTATTTAATTGCATTTCAAACTGATCAAAGTCTAAACTCGTCAAGATAGAAACTCGTCTTGCCGCAACCATCAGTTGAATGTTCAACTTAATGTTTATGGCGGATAAATTAACGGCCGTCAAAGCCGGGCCAGGTAGGTATGTATTTGAAGGTCAGGACCTATACTTTCAAAAAAAGTTAAGAGATCGTAAGTTCGTCAGCCAATCATTGACGGCCTGTCAAGAAAAATCCACCAATCATAGACAAGAAAATAGAGCGTAAGTACTTACGTTCACTTAGCGAATTTTGAAAGTATGGCCCCAGGTAACAAAGAGTTATTGTCGGTAGACAATTGCTCAGGTCTCCCTGTGCTAAACGTGAATTAGACAAATAGTTTCAAAGTAAAATTTCCAGATAGACGAATAAAAGATTGAAAATAGAAGTATTTTCAATCAAAGAAACAAACCTTGCTATGTATAACTATATTCATGAATACGAAAGATAAGAAGGCAGAAAATATATCAATAATATTTTGTGCAGTACCAAACATTACAAGAGTTGAATGTTAAAGGCAAACCATTACTCCTTAAGTCAACGTAAATCTCAGCTTGGAATTTTCATCAGTCAATCAAGCGGCCCTTATGTCACCTGACCAGTTAACGGCGGCCACTCGTCAACAGCGCCTGAAGCAGCAAGTATTCCTCTACAGGAGACAACTAGCACTGTAAATAGTGGCGCTTAGCACTAGCCACAGCAAGTGGCTGCACCTTATGAGTCACCAGCTTGGTAGTATTGGGAGATATTGGACGAGATTTCTTTAGCCCATCCAATCAGCGATGATTCACAAGATGACAGAAGGGTCAACAAAATCGTTTTGCAAAGTTAAATATTTAAACTTAGATAGCTGACGTACAGTAGTTTAAAAAATCTCTGAGTGGTTCATAATTTGAATATCATATTGATGATAACCTGATATATTCGTATTGTCTCGTTAGGTCCCGTTTATAAGATGCATATGGAATACTGAAATTATTTAAACTTCTATTTTATGCTATACGTCTCGTCTCGGTACCGTCCAGGATTTCCACAAGAAGTTGAAAATTGTCTCGATTTTTATAACTAATTTGGGCAAAGCTTCTTGCCTTGTCTAGGATAAACAGTCGCCAAACGCAGGAGTCTAATAAGTCACAACCAACTCTTTAATCATTGCATTTTATACGCGGGAATAATTCTTTCTATATTCCTCAATACAAATCTTGTCTAAATACAAAATTTCCAGTTCTTTCAATTTGTAAAACACGAAAAAATGAACTGAGTCGCAAGAAAGAAGAAGCTACCTTGACTTCATATGTTCTGAAGAAGACGTTATATAGGTTCATAGGTTCTTTCTATATTTCTCAACACAAATCTTGTCTAAATTCAATATACAGTGAGAGACCTTACCGCACACGATCTCCAGTTGTCAATTCAAGGCAATTCTCTTACACCTCAAATGCATTTAAATAAGAAGAAATACAGTAGTTTTCCAACAATCACAGCTATGCCTTTCCAAAACACTAGCGACTATTTGGGCAACAATTGGAGATTCCAAAATTTTAGTTTTAACCTTGGTACTCTTTTTGAAAAAAAACTTTCATCTAATCGCATTACTGAACTCAAAATGCCCCCTGGTCTAGTCTGACAGGCATGAGAAAATCTTACCAACATTCCTTGTTCCATTCAAACTTGTTCATCAGATTAGCTCACATGTCTCTCTAAATTGAGTTGTAATGACAACATTGATTGCACTCCATCAGAAGGAAATCGAAATTTTTATAATTTGGAGAATCTTAGCTTCAAAATCCCAAGCCCAGTATTTTGCATATTCAAACAACAGGCTCCAGTCTGCCCAAGTTATTACAATGTCATTGGTAATAAGATTAAACAGGCACTACTTCGAAACTCATTTGCAATCTTACTTGATCATTTCAGGAAGTGGGATATGATTCATAATAAACCCAAACTGTAGTCTGGGAATGATGTATTGCAATATTTCATACACAAGAGTCTCTCTTTCCCTTCCTAATGCCCAGGATGGTTAACTAACTAAACCAACCACACAAAACCATCATGACATAGGTAATTAATTTAGCTCTGAATCTAATCATTTTAATCATACACTTAAATTATTAAAACAGAATTCATGAGAAGTTCATTTTTTTCCATTGTTGAAACCATTCTACATTTCAACTTGCAAAACATTCTGCATGTTGAAATGCAGAAGTGTAAGGGTAAAGGTCTCACCTTACCCATGTGGATAAGGTGAAAGTGAAAATTAACAAATTACAATGCAGCATTTGGAACATTTTTCTGGAGTATGCTGGAGCCCAAGATGGAAATTATATTCTTTCAAGTGATAATGAATTTCCAGTTTGGAGATCAGGTTTTATAGTATGGCCAGGGATGGAAATATAGGCATACCATATAAATCTGTATTCAAAGTCCAAATTTATATAATCTATATATATTGGGACTAGGAGAAGCTAGGATGCCGCGCAAACATTTGCTGCAAATTTTCTAGGCCATATTATCACATGATACTCCAAAAGAAACAAGAAAATTTAATCTTTGGTTTACCATTAATTTTAAAAATATTTCAGTAATTTTTACAAATATGTAACAATAACTCACAGGCAATCACCCCATTGACAGTGCCTCTTTCAATTCCCAGCCCAGTTAGTTGTAATATCCATGCCCTAACCAGAGCCTGTTGTTGTTAGTTGCCAGGATCTGCCGCTTAGCAGCACCCCAGTAAAGGGGGCAGCTCCTGGGGAGGAGGAGGGAGCAGTTGATCCACTCCAAGGATGTTGGAAAACAATGGGGGTGATGAGAGGAAAGCCGCAGTTGGTCTAGGGTTAGACAAAGGTTCAGTGAGGTTAGCAAAGCAGGGAGCAATGGGCAGCTGAAGAGGTGATGGGTGGTGTGATCCATTATGCCACACTCAGGGCAGATAGGGCTATTTGCTGCTCACCTGTGGGCACTGGGCAAGGTCAAGTTAAGTCACAGTGGGTAGCCAAAGCGGGGCTGGGAAAGGGTGCTTCTGGCTGCTTTGGGAAGGAACCGCTTGCTGGATGAGATAGAGTGGGCTGGGATCAGCAACACCTTGTTAAGAGCTGCTGAGGCCAGGTAGGAGGAGACAGCAGAACTGTGCAGGGTGCTGAGGGCAGTGGAGTAGGAGTCCAAGGAGGGGAGGGGATGGACCCCTCCTCCAGCAAGTAGAGACTGAAGCAGGGTTGGCAATGATTAAATCAAAATGATTAAATCATGTGATTAAATCACTTGATTTTTTATAAAAAAATCGTGATTTTTTCTATTTTTTTACTTTTTTCATATATTTAAATATATTGAGTGGCAGTCTTTAATTTATATTGAGGTATTGTTATTCATGGTTTTGTATAAATGTACTATGAATGGCAAATTGGTATATAAACTTGTTGCCTTTAGTGTGTATTAGGTTCCAATAAATGGAATGTTTTTGGTACAGAGGCATCAAGTGTGCAATACATTGTACGTAGCCAGCAGCTTAGCTAATTCTTATAAGGCTATAAGT